ATTTTAGATAGAAATAATTACATAAATATGACCAAAATAAAGATGATTTACTAAAGTATGATTAGTGACTAGAGTAGTAATGAAATCATAATAATTCATGTTCAAGTTTTGAGTTTTAGTTACCACAACACTATATTGTAGTAATGAATAGTTATATTTATGTAAATATGTTTTATTTTAGTAATATTCTTGTAAAAAACCCTTTTAGATATAGTTTCTCATTATTATTTTTGTGTAAGTATTATTTTTGTATGTGGTGAAAGACCTATAAACATTACACCCATATTAACAATTTTTTAAATGTTGTAATATTAGTTTTAAAGTATTAAAAAAAATTGAAAAATATAAAGTTTTTCTGGGCCCGGAGGCCCGGTGGACTACCCGGCCCGCTCTTATGGGCGGGTATGGACATGGGGTTAGGCCCGTTTTTGCGGGCCGGGCCGGACCCGCCCACATATGATGGACAAAAAAATTATAAAAAGCCCGGCCCGAGCCCGGCCCGAACCCGTTTTTGTGCAGGTCTAGTTCCAACACCTAGCAGCTCCCTCGGTCAAACATGAACACATGGCAGGTCAGAAACAACACCTCGATCGGCCTGGAGTGGGGGGACTTGGAAGCATGAATGGCTTCTCAACGTCTACAGACCACAGGTAGTCACCAACGTCCCGACACCTCCCTCGGCCAGGACTTGATAGTCGAAAAGAGGCAAGCTTCGCCCATACCAAGTATGTCACGCAATTGGCATCATCATCACCGTCCGTCAGCCGAAAATAGTACGGAGTAATACTAGAAGCAGATCCACGCTTCGGTCAAGGAGAGACCATCGGCCACAACTGCTCCGCCACCACACGACGCCCCCGGTCGGCCAAACCTTATGTTAAGATATGGGATTGACATGGGGTTCCATCCTAAAAGGTCAACCTGATAGGAGGAGTAGCCCATGTGTTAATATAACACTTTGTTCATCCAAATATTTCTGATGTGGGACATTTAACACCTTAACAAAGGGTAGCACAAATCCTCCCATTGTGGCCTCAACTCGGCCAGCAACTCCCAACTCGGCCACGCGGGACGGACTCTCTCCCTTGGGCAGCAACTGGTTCTTCTTCGGCCAAGCAAGAGAAGAACCCATCGGTTCGAATGGAGTTGATGCAGTCCCTTCGGCCACGGAGAGCTCCAGAGCTAGTCACAATCTCGTCAACAACGACCCATCTCGGCAACACTTCGGCCGGCACCCCCGTCGGCCGGCACCCCGTCGGCTAGCACACCATTATCCGGCAGCACATCGGCCGACGGCAACAATCAGGGCCCCTCAACACCTCGTCCATACAAGACCCTCGTCCAAACCTGCAAATCAGTCACGGTGCACATGTGGCATGAGTGATAGCCACATAATTATTAGCAAATAAATTATTTCTCTCCTTATTTGAATGATTTTATATAATTTTGGTAAGCTTTTCCCTGCAATGTCAACAACAATGTCTCTCTCATGCCACGTGCGCACCGTGCACATTGTACCATTGAAGATGCTCTAATGCTACAATGTGTACGGTGCACATGTGTCATGAGAGAGATAGACAAAAAAATTGAATTTATGACATTTCTGTCTCATTCTTTCCACGGTTTTATGTGTTTTTGGTAAGTTTTCCTCTACAATGTCAAGCACAATGTCTATATCTAGACATTGTGCTTGACATTGTGAAAAAACTTACCAAAATGATACAAGATCCTTGGAGAGAAATATTCTATTTATTATTTTATAATTGGCTATCTCTCATGCCACGTATGCACCGTTCACGTTTTACCATTGGAGATGCTCTATGCAAGTAACAGCCTCATCTCCATTGTGCGTGGTCACCACCGTCCAAGTGACCCTCCTCGGCCGGGTTTAATTCAAACAACAGCAAAAGAAGCAAGAGGCAAGGTTCATTTATCATTGGCCGGCGGCACCTTCGGCCGGCAACACCATCAGCCACCAGTGCATCCATCGGCCAAATCATGGCTCGCTCACAGGGTCCTCCATCGGCCACTGATGCCGCTTCGTCCAAAGGAATCTCCCTGGCGCCCCTCGTCCAGAAATCCCTCGGCCAGGCGAAGGAGGAATAACGGCGCACCTCTGCCTGGAAGCAACGCCGGGATTGATTCGTGCTCATCTCGCATCGGCTTGCCTGAAGCTCGCTAGCAACTTAATTCAAATGGTGGGCTGGCTATATGGGTCTGCTATTAATTATCAAGGTTGGATTTCTAAGAAGCAGGTCCATTTGCAAGAAATAATCTCTACAGCCTGTTGGAATTTTAAATATCACAGGCTTCGGCCCAAATTCGAGTAAGTGTCTTAAACTTTTCCTCCTATTTTATGCAATAAATATGTGGAAAAATATTTTACTACTATTAAAAAAAACAAAAAACTATAGTTTTACTATTGTTCAAAAGCAAAAAAAAAAATATAATAATAATAATTACTACTATTATTATCACCACCATTGCTAGCGGATTAAAATCCCCAATTGGTGTGGGCCAAAAGCCTTAACCTTCTGAACATCTTGTTTGAAGATTTGGATTATATTTGGGTCTCTCGACCTACCCCGGTCATCTTTATTTGATGACCCGAGCATCTAAAATGAGAGTTGCCATCGGCCTCACATGTCACTATGCCTAAGAGAGGTAAAACGATACACCTCATTCCCCTAGACGCTAATTGCGTCATCTAAAAGCCGTTGCAATAAACAACGCACCCCAAAAGCCGTTGCAATAGACAACGCACCAAAAAAGCCGTTGCAATAGACAACGCACCCCCAAAGCCATTGCAATCGACAACGCAACATAAAACGTCGTGATCCTCTTATTTTCTAAAATTTAAGCAAGGAAAAACAAAGCACGACTAAATACCACATCGGCCCAGGCGGTGAAACACCCAGGAATGGCCGACGGTATGTAGGACGAAGGACCTGTGTGCATGGTTCGACGTCTTGAAATGGAGAAGCATACCGCGTCGTTCGCGCGGAAACTGCAGGACGACAAGCCTGAATGAAGGCCGAGGTTACAAAAACTTCCCCCGCCAGTAAAATTTCTCTCAGGACCACAAAGGACAGCCGTCGCGAGACAATAGCTAAAGTATGGTCCCTCGTCATAAATAGGCGAGGAAAGGCCCCAAAACAAAAGCCACTGACACACTAAACCAAGGGTATGTTGACTCCATCGTCTCAGTACACACAAAAGCAGAGCGGATAAAATAAACCGCATGTGAGCGAAGGGACAGTAACCCTTTGGCCACAGCCTCCAAGAGGTAACACTTCTAGCTCGATCAAAAGAAGCACAAAGGAACAAAAAAAAAGAGGGAAGCCGACGGACCGCGCACTCGCCGGCCTCGAGCAATAAAAAATAAATAAATTCCCCAAACATATTATTCATCTCAAGACCGACTCCCAATGCCGAAGATCTTGCTCCATCATCTCATGAACGGCCTCCCCAACGCCGTCATGCCTCCATTTGATGATCGGCCTCCCAGCCTTGGCGTTATTATTTCTTCGCAAGACCAGCTTCTCATCGCCAAGTGTCTTGAGTTGGAAATCGGGATCGCCATCCCTTCCTGGATGGTGACCGTTGCCTCTACATGATGATCGGCTCATCTCCGCCTCGTCATCATTATTCGGATCGGCTCATCATCATCGCCATCCGCACATCACGACTGGCCCCCCAGCCTCGGCGTGATGATCTAGCTCAAGACCGGCTTCCTTAGCGCCAAGTGTCTTGAGCTAGCGACCGAGCTTGCTATTCCATTCTGGGATAGCAACCGTCACCTTTATATGACGATCGGCTCATCCGCGCCTCGTCATCACTATTCGGATCGGCTCATCATCATCGCCATCCATCACGACCGCCCCCCCCGACCTTGGCGTGATGATCTAGCTCAAGACCGGCTTCCTCAGAGCCAAGTGTCTTGAGCTAGCGACCGGGCTTGCTATTCCCTTCAGGGATAGCAACCGTCGCCTTTATATGACGATTGGCTCATCAGTGCCTCGTCATCACTATTCAGATCGGCTCATCATCATCGCCATCCGCACATCACGACCGGCCCCTCAGCACGACGTGATTTTCTAAACCCAAGTCCGGTCTTAGTCCTCCTCACTTCATGGATGACGACCGTTGCGTGGATTTCAGGACCGGCTCCTCAATGTCGACATCCTTGCATCACGGCAGACCACCCGGTCTCAACGTGATCATTTATTTGATGACACGGCAGACCCCTCGGTCTCAACATGCTCATCTATCTGAAGACCATCATAGTGATTTAATTCCTTGATTTATAGTTGTTTTAATGGATTTATTCCTATTCTATTTTCGTTTGTTCAAATTTTATGTAACTTCACATTCACTTTTCGCTCCTTTCACATACACCTTTAGGTTATCAATCAATATACTTCCTTAGATTAGCTAACTCAATTAACACCACTATTTAACACCACTTTCTAAAGCCGTCAACTTTCTTTTTTCCTCTTATATATGGACCTCCTACATTAAGTCATGAACCCACACAATATTTGTATTTTAATCTGCAAAAACATTCTATCTCACCTTCAATATTTGTCAATAAATAATTTTAGTTTCAAGAATCAAATTTCTATCTTGTTTAGCATGTTCATTCCGCCCTTAAATCATAATTTTTAACATGCCTATTCCCACTATTTTGTAAACCATAGTAAATCTTACTAAATTCTTAGTCTTACATTTGACGTTGTAACATACTGAGTACTCTTTTAATGCATTATTAAAATTACTGTGTACACAAAACTATAATTAGACATTATCCTCTCGCGCATCACACGTAAATATAACTAGTCCAAAAAGGATAAAATCTAACCCAAGTGAAAAAACATTCTCATCCATTTGAGTTAAAAAAAAAAACAGTGTGTAAATGGTATAACTTGTGCATCAAACCCCATCACCTTGACACCTCATACTTTTGTGTGACTTTGGATACCATATCGCGGTTAGTATTTTGCGGGCCGAGTAAAGCAATTGCACTTGTAAAGTTAGAAGCCTCTTATTCGGCCCGTTTTTCTTCTCTGCACTAGATTACTACCCAATCGTGAAGAACAAAAGCTAGATTTGGGGAGAAATGGCTTCATCTGCGACGATTCCGATCTCGGTTCCTCAGTCAACCGCCGGTGGCCAGGCTCAGACTACGATCGCCACACCAGCCTTTCGTGCTTTCGTTTCCCGCCTTTCCACCTCGATCAGGCAAGGCTTGTCTCAGCGACGGCCGTGGTGGGAGCTTCTAGATCGGTCCTCCTTTTCTCGGCCGGATACTATCGCCGAGGCCGCCTCTCGCGTTCGGAAGAATTTCTCCTACTTCCGCGTAAACTACGTCACCTTACTCGCTACTGTCCTCGCTTTCTCACTCCTCTCGCACCCGCTGTCTCTCGTCGTTCTCGTCGCGCTCCTCGGCGCCTGGTTCTTCCTCTACCTCTTCAGGCCGTCGGATCAAGCACTCGTAATTTATGGCCGCACCTTCTCGGACCGTGAAACGCTTGGGATATTAGTGGTGTCCACCGTCGTGGTTGTCTTCCTCACCAGCGTTGGATCGGTACTCATTTCAGCTCTCCTTGTGGGATTGGCGCTCGTGTGTGTCCATGGAGCTTTTAGGATGCCGGAAGACTTGTTCCTTGATGACCAGGAGCCAGCCAACGCAGGATTCCTCTCCTTCCTTGGTGGTGCAGCCTCCTCAGCAGCAGCAGCTGCTGCTCCGGCCGTTGTATCCCGCGTGTAGCCGGATAACATCTAATTAGATCTCAATCAAGAGGGGAAATGCAACAGAGGTTCGTGAACGATTCTACATATGTGCGGTTAATTTGGTTGTACACTCAAATTTGAACTTGATTATAAAACTAGGAACTGCCACTGACTTTGTAGAAATGTGTTAGATACTCTGTATCTAATTGGGATCTGGACTCACTGAAAATAGACCTGGATTCATTTTCTATCCTTGATTTTGGTTGTGTTTGTATCATCAAATCAGTGATCAATTCTGATGCTGTTGCGATCTGTTACTCTAATTGTTACATTTCAAAATGAATTTAAGCTTTCATTTCTTCCATTTTAATCCTATTTTGAGCAATTGTTTTATATTCTATTGTGGATCTCTTGATAATGCAGTGTTTGTGTTTTTGCTATTATGACACATAGGTGGCTTATTCCACATTTGTTCTTTGTGTGAACTCTAAACAATATTTATGAACAAACCAATATAGTTAAAAACATAGGGTCCAATGCAATTGCCTTCTAGGACTCTGGGTTTAAGCCTTTCATGATCTTAATGTAGTTTGATTGAGTCTAACAAGTTGAAATCTTTGATATTGAGTGGTAGTTTATGTGAAAGTCTTCCTCTGGAAGCCCATTCCATCATTTGAACAGTCATAGTGTGACTGTCTTAAGCTATGTATTTAATGTGGAGCTATATTAATCTTGCTGTGTAGCTGAATTAGGGCTGGACTCGGGCCGGTTCGGGCCCGGTTCGGGCCTGGGCCCGGCCGGGCCTCGGGCCGGGAAAGGGGAGGCCCGAGCCCGAACCGCCGGTGGCCGGTTCCGGTTCCGGTTCCGGGCCAAACCGGGCCGGGCCGGGCCGGGCCGAACCGGCCCAATAATATTTTTTTTTTTTTTTTGTTATCCTATTTAATCCCCTACCCCTCCCCCTCAACCCCAAACCATCCCAAACCACCTCAAATGGCCCAAAATACCTAATCCAACCTAAAACTTAAAAAAATTTCAAAAAAAAAAAAAAAAAAAATTAAAATCCGGCCCGGACCGGGCCCGAACCGGCCGGGCCGGTTCACGAATACCTGGGCCCGGGCCCGAACCGCCCAGCAGCCGGGCCGGGCCGAACCGAACCGAGGGACCCACCGGGCCCCGGGCCGGGCCGGGCCAAACAGTAACCGGGCCGGGCCGGTTCCGGGCCGGGCCGCCCGGCCCGAGTCCAGCACTAAGCTGAATGACCACATTCACTTTTGGGGTATTGGTTGTGAACTTGTGATTAAGAATAACTTGTAGTTTTGTTTCCTTGTAGAATAAATAGTGGAGTCTAACTATTTCACTTATTTCAGTTATTTCAGTAGCACACTAGACTTCAACAAATCAGACCAACTAGACTTCAACAGGTATACAATACACAGAGACCAGCTCAGTCCAAACTAGACCAGAGCAGAAAATTTCAGTCCAATAAAAAACAGCCTAACACATAATCATCTTATGATTACAATAAATCGAAGTCTTGTGTTCTTAGCACAGTAGATGCACCTGCACGAGTAGTTTCATTGGCCTGTGCTAGTTCTGGTGGGGTTGAGATTCCAGATTTGGAATAAATAATAAAGATTATGTTTGGTACAAGAAGCTGAAATTGAAGGTTAATGCCTTGTGCCTTTTGTCTAGGTTAAGGGCAGGGCTATTATTGGAGGCCATATTTAGAGTTGTTGAAACTTGCAGACCAACTATGGTAGTCAAACTTGAGAGCCTACATAGGATCGGAAGGGGACTTAAAAGATTGTGAATTGTAGGATTGTAACTTGGATCATAAGATCCTACTCTATATATATGTGTATGCATATATATATATATATATATATATATATATATGTGTGTGTGTGTGTATACATATATGTGTAAAGCAGTGCTTCTAGTACAGAATTACCATCAGTCCAACTTCATTTTGACGTGAAATGAAGTGAATGCTCCAACTTCGTTACTCATTAGTATTAACTACTACGTGGTATTAGTTTCAACTATTAGATTTTAAATTTGTTTGAAGATAGAACCTATAAACTCACTTTTTCACCTCTAATACTTATCTAACAGTCAAAATTAATTCATCATAAAAATGAAATTAAGCTTTGGAAAATTATTTTTCAATTATTTAACGATTAAAACTAATTCTTAATATGAAATAGGGAAAAAAATGGATCATTTCATTCATTTTTTGGCTAAAAATGAAATCCGCTTGATGAAAATCCCGTCTGGCACGACGGACTAATGTGATCTTTATTATATACTACGTATATCTATGTATAAATATATATTATGTATTAGATATTATATCTGATTCATATAACAGTTAGGTAGAAAATAGTATACTAATAATGAAATAAATTAATTTAGATATGTAAGACTATAATAGGTTGAACATAGAGTCGTGTACTTGATAGAGTAAGAGCCTATTTGGTAATCCGGTTTTTAAGATAACCAGGCTTATTAATATACTAGTTTTTGCACGTGCGTTGCACGATATGGAAAATGCCCAATGCATTTTTTGTATGACTTTTTGATACTTATATGTTAACATTTATAGCTATCTAGAAATACAATATTTAAATTTCCTTCATAATGAAAACATCACAAACAAAAAAAAAACATGCAAATACCTGAAATACGAAGAGGATTAGACCTTATTTTTTCATTTCGCATCGAAAAAACATAAAAAAAGCAAAATTATTAAGTGTGACTCTAAATATTGCTAGTTCTTATTCAAATTAGTCTAGGACCCCAGATGATGGTAAGAGATGTGAAACATGTACATTTATGAGAAAACTAAATGATTACAAAATTACCTCCATGCAAATAGTAAATCATTAATTAGTTTCCTCTAAAGTTATTAATTTTTCATAATGAAAACTACCAAAGCATGCATATATTAAGTAAATAGCTGTTTCCTCTGGACTTTCCCAATCATCACTGTCATGGCTCTGTGAGGGTGCTGCAGATATTAAAAGGGATAAGAGTCAATTTGGTCCTCGAAGTTGCAAAAAAGGAGTCAAATAAGTCCTTATATAGAAGATTCTGTCGGGACGTGCCATTTGAGGTGGCTCCCGGTGGATGTTTTTGATGAAAATTTTCGAGCATCTTATTCATTAAGTCTAGTTTACTCATACCAAATTTCAGATAAAAATTCAATCGGGAAGACATTCAAATGAATTCTTGAAGATAACTGTGCTGTTAAAAGCGCAGTTATCTTCAAGAATTCATTTGAATGTCTTCCCAAGTGAATTTTTAGCTGAAATTTGGTATGACTAAACTAGACTTAATAAATAAGATGCTCAAAAAAAATTATCAAAAAATTCTACCGGGAGCTACCTCAAATGGCACGCCCGGACAGAATCTTCTATATAAGGACTTATTTGACGCCTTTTTTGCAACTTCGAGGACCAAACTGACCCTTTACTCGATATTAAAACTTTGCTGAAATATACAAGTTTTATTACAGAGGTTAAAATTTTATTACAGAGGTTAAAATTTTGGAAAGGGGCTGATATAACCTCTATCCCTCCTAATATTAACGTCAAAGTTGCTGAAATATACAAGTTCAAAGTAAAGGATAATCGTTTGACATTGAGTGTGAGCCTGAAAAAAACTTCACAACACTGTATATTTCCAGGATTATTTTAGTATTGGACATTCATACTTCTTAATAGACTATTAAGTCTACACAAAAAGAAATATAATATAGGATGTTTAATCAACTCATATTCCTTCTATCTCTCCTGTGAGTCTCTTGAGATGGTTTACAATTTTAAGCTACATGACTGGCCTCTCCACTGATATTACGTATCTAATTCAAAAGAGAGTTAAAAAAGAAAGCAATCAAATGAGACTTTAAGCTTATAATCATGTTATGGTAAAAGTTTTCTGTGTAGGACCAGCTAGTTTATATCCAGATTTCGTTGATAGCCCTCGGGTACTATCATATATTTTGCTAAGAATCGTGGAAGCGCTGACTGAAGCAATCAGGGAGGGGGGATATTTGTCATTACTCCTTAGAACCCTGGGTATATTCTACATCTCGATCTAACTCACATGGACTGTTAAACACAGTTGTGACAGTGGACCTGAATGTTAAGCCCCGTGGTGTTTTCAGACTTAAATCTCATGCCTTTTGTGTCTTGCTTTTCTCTGTTTTTTGTTGTTCTACAATTTCAGGAATAAACCCCATACCATCACAATTCACACACACTATGTTTTCCATTTTATAGCTTTAAGCCTCACGAGTGATATGGGTAGTGATAAAGTGTATATAGATAATAAATATGATAGGTTTGTTAAATAGAAATAAACAAAAGATAGCATAAGAGTTTGATGTTTGAACCAAAACTCTGCAAGAATCATCAAGAAGTACTGGACAAGAAATTCTTAGACCTGAGATAATTCCATACGGTTATAGAAAGAGTAAATGGTCCGTTTGGTCCTCGAAGTTGCATAAAAGGGGTCAAATAAGTCCTTATATAGAAGATTCGGTCCAGACGTGCCATTTGAAGCAGTTCCCGGTGGAATTTTTTGATGAAATTTTTTGAGCATCTTATTCATTAAGTCTAGTTTACTCATACCAAATTTCAGATAAAAATTCAACCGGGAAGACATTCAAATTAATTCTTGAAGATAACTGCGCTTTTAACTGCACAGTTATCTTCAAGAATTCATTTGAATGTGTTCTCGGTTGAATTTGTATCTGAAATTTGGTATGAGTAAACTAGACTTAATGAATAAGATGCTAAAAAAATTTGATCAAAAAATTCCACCGGGAACCGCCTCAAAAGGCACGTCCGGACAGAATCTTCTATATAAGGACTCATTTGACTCATTTTATGCAACTTCGAGGACTAAACTGACCCTTTATTCATTATAGAAATGTTCTCATTCATATTCTAAATTATAATGTAGTATTTGTAATCCTCATTTACTACTGGACAATAAGTTCTTACACCTGAGCAAAGTGCTACGGTTATAAAAACATTTTCGTCCTTATCTTGACGCAAAGGAGTACTTATAACTAATTCATCTTCCTCTTGGCTTAAAAGCCGTGATTTTTGGCAGAGTTGAAAAGTTTTTTTAAAGCAAGGTATAGTTGAAAAGTTGAGCCATAAAAATAGGAAACGTACCAAGTGTACAATAGAGAGTTTGGACCGTTTAGAGCTATAACCACAACTTTTCATCACCTCGAGGTTTTTTTAACCTATAACAGCTCTGCTTTGCTAATTACATTTATCTATTACGAAAACAAGATTCACATTAGCATAAAATATTTCTCATTTAAGAATTCATTATAACTAATTTCGCTATGAGCATATTTTGTTCAGCTGCAGTACTACTTGTAGAACCAAAAAGGC